CTCTGATAACTTATATTTGCTATTATACTGTCAAGAAAACAATTCTCTCTCTCTAAAAAAAAGAGCAACATTTTGCTTCACTATGCATAAGGGGTTCTGTTAATTATGGGGGCATCACAGGTACTTGCTAATGGTCATCCTCAGAAGACTTGGTAGTTCTTCTGCAAGATTTGTCCTGTTCTGACCTAGGCTTGAAAAAAATCACCAAGCAGACGTCCCAACAAAACCCCTTTTCATTTGGCTAATGTGAATTCTTATTCACATCCAGCAAAGTCCTAGCAAACAGTCTTTCAAGAGTGATTTACAACCACAGAGCTTATCGGGCTTGGGGAGTTGCCAGGCCAATAGTTTCCAAGCGCAACAATGCTGTAGCAGAAAATACACTTGGTAAGGAGTCAGGAACAAATCTTCACCCTAATAAATTAAACTAATTGTCTCCTGCAAACACCACTCCCCTTTCGCTCCTCTTTTATTCCCTATGGGAAGGAGCATTCACCATCCACCTGTGCCTTGACTCCCGAGTCGACCCTTGTTCCTTAACTGTTCCCTTCTGGCAGCTCTGTGCATGCGTACACTGGGAACAGGCTCCAGCTGCTCTTCTGCCCCACTGATGTCTAACTTCGAAGGGAGCTGGAAACTGTCAGAAGACCCTGGCCCCATCTCTGCCTCTAATGCAGAGCACCCATCAGAACCTTCCCCAGATTTCAGGACTGGCCCATGTTCCTCCTCACTGTCCAAGTCCGCTGGCCACTGGTGGGCCACAACATGTCCTCCGATTATAATTTCACGCCTAATAATGGAATGTTTTGTTGCTAATGCACCTTGGAATCGCACCGTATTATACTACTGCCTTGAATTCTCTCAGTGACATTACTACTGTAGGCTTTTAGACTTTTTCCACTATCAACTTCCTTCATCCTTTGCCTATTCCTTTACAGGGATCACCTCCCCTAACAACGGAGCAAAGTTTGCAGACTATTCTCAACACCCTGGGCCGTCTCTCTGAGAAAAATACTGGCACATTTGTTAACTGGGAAGGGAATCTTATTCCCTGGTGAGACAACCAAGATTCTGCTTCTCCCCACTGCAGGATGATGTCCTCATGGAAGGCAATGCAACTTTCTACCTTCTATCACTGCTCACTATATCCTGCTCTGCTGCATGTTCTCCAACTTTCCCTTGCTTCAGTTACTCTGTCTGGTGCCCATCAAACCTTGTTCAGCAAGGCTCTTTCAGGCTGCAGATCGCAGTGATCCATCTAAATACTTCTAGATATCACTAGCAACCATTGGTAAAGCAGTGGTTTCTTATTGGAGAATTTTCTTTTGAGATCTCTGGTATCTCCCTAAACCACGACACTTAAGCCTCTGAGAATCAGTTCCTGTTCTGCAACTCCATTTGTTTGGAAATGGATCTTCACTTAGGCTGTGAATTCTCTTGCCAAAATGCCATCTGGAGCTTCCAATATGTTTGTACAGGATTTTTTTTTTTTAAGATTATATTGCATGAAATAAAAAATTGAGGACAAATCTCTCTTTTGTTAATGATGCAAAAATTGTCAAGACACTAAGACATGTGGTGGCCTTAAAATTTGAGATTCTCGGCAAGAGATTTGTTGGGGTCCCCATGAAAGGCTGAAGTTTGTAAGCTATGAGCAACTTATGAATTCTGATGACTCTTATTGTTTTCTAAATGGCTTATTGGCAGGTAGAAGAACTGATGGTAACATTTGAGAACGTTGATTGTGGTGGTGTCTATCAGGGCCACCTTCTAGAATAGGACTGAAGACATAGTCTTGTGGTGATTCTGGCAATTTCTTGGGGGCTGGCCCCAGGCATTGAGCTAGAAACCAGGTGAGAGAGAGTTCTAGTCCTACCATGGGCAAGAAAACCAGTTGGACAATTTTGGACCAGTCACTCTCTCTCAGCTCAGTTCAACTCACAAGGCTGCTGTTGGGCAAATAGCAGGAGGAAGAAGTAATAGATACGGATACAGATTAACAGAGTTGGAAGGGACCTTGTAGGTCATCTAACAGTGCAACACACACCCCAAGCAGACCCTACATCATTTTTGACGGATGACAGTCTCTTCTTGAAAGCTTCCAATGATGAAGATGTTGCCCAACTCTATTAAAATAACAAAAGTGGGATTTAAAAAAAATCTAAAAACAAAGATTGCCTTTGTATTCTTGAATAGCTTTATTTTCCAAAGTGTGCAGAAAATATTGCCAAATAGGGATTAGTTTTAATGATTTGGGTTGCTTATATGTATTTGCACAAACTTTAATTAATCTCCAAAAAGACTAGATATTTGTCTTGCCAATACTGTCTTATTAGCTGCTGCCATCATATGGAACTAAAATGTACAGTATAGTTCACTTCCATGGCGTCAATAGAATATTTGCTATTTTAGGCTACATAGAATATTTTCCCTCGCATCTTTACACTCGTAATACAGACGATTTTTGCCTTTGTGTTCTATTCTGGCAGGATAAAGATCATCAGTCTTATGGTATAGTTAAGTAAAAAAAAATTAGAAATGGTGGAAAGTATCTGTAGCTTGGATGGTAGGTAGCCAGACCAACCAACAACGGTGTCAACCAACAATCAACTTGCATCATCTCCAGCCAGGGTAGCCCCACCACCAGATGATCCTCACACAGCATGGCCAGTCAGTCACATGGCCAGCCAGGATGACCTTACCACCAGATGACCCTCATAAAGCATGACCAGTTGGTCAGGTGACCAACTAACCACATAAGACCTATGAAAGCAGAAGAGAAGTAAAATAAGACACTTCAGCTGAGGTTTTGCGGATGATTTATTTATTTATTTATTTACGATTTATTTATTTTGTCAAGCAATTATTAGATAACAGGTATAAGTATAAACATAGTTAAGAATACATGAAATGTATACGAATAAGAAAAAAAGAAAGAAACAATAGGACAGGAACAGTAGGCACATTTTGGTGCGCTTATGCACACCCCCTACAGGCCTCTTAGGAAAGGGGTGAGGTCAATAGTAGACAGTCTAAGGTTAAAGGGTTTGGGGAAGAAACCACAGAGTCAGGTAGAGTATTCCAGGTATTGACCGCTCTGTTGCTGAAGTCGTATTTCCTGAAGTCAAGTTTGGTACAGTTTATCTTGAGTTTATGTCTATTGTTTGCTCTTGTATTATTTTGTTCCCAGGCTAGGTAACATCTTATATGATGTTTCCTCGTCTGGAAACAAAACTTTCAGAAACTAAACAACAAGGTCGGAGAACAAACCAATGGTGGGATTCAATTTTTTTTTACTATGGGTGTGGCATGGCTGGGCTTGGTGGGCGTGACTTGGTGGGCATGGCATAGGAAGGATACTGCAGAATCCCCATTCCCTCCCCACCCCACTAACCTGCTTTCCAGCTCTGTTCTCCTTTGCAGGGCAACCAAAGAAGACCTAGCCAATCAGCTGGGACTCAGGAGGAGGAGACTAGATGGGGGCGGGGCCAGTCAGAGGTAGGATTTGCCGGTTCTCCGAACTACTCAAAATTTCGGCTACCGGTTCTCCAGAACTTCTGAATACTACCTCTGGAACAAACCACCACCAAAACCAAAGGCTTCCCTGTCCAGTCATTTCTGACTCTGGGGAATGGTGCTCACCTCTGCTTCTTGGCCGAAGGAGCCAGTGTTGTCCAAAGACAATTTCCGTGGTCATGTGGCCAACATGGCTATAATCTAAAGCTGAACGGAACACTGTTCCATTCCCACCAAAGTGGTGCCGATTTATTGACTTGCATTTGCATGCTCTTGAATGGCAGGAGCTGGAGCAAGTAATGGGAGCTCACTGTGTAAGGAGCACTCGGGTCTCAAACTTGGGCTATCAGCTCTGCAGCTGAGAAGCTCAGCATCTTTAACTGCAGAGCCATTGCGCCCCACGTGATTAAGCACTTTGCTCTGTGTAAGAGTCTGAATGGATGATTTAATGGTATGATACGTGCCTTCCAATAAATATAATAGCAATAGCAGGTGGCCATTAGTCTGTTTATCCATTTAGCAACAGACTCGCACCTAAATAGCCACATGTTTAGCAACAAGATAGATGCTAATAATTTCATTTTTTAAAAAAAATTCCAGCTGGCTGTAGAAATTTTAGCTGGATCCCAAGCTTTGCCCAAGCAGATGGTCATAAAAACGGAGAAATGGCACATTTATCACATTTATCTCCTATGTGACACACTTCCAAATATATGTTGTATCCACACAGGAAGAGCTATAACCCTAGCTACGACTTAGAGCAGTTGGTGGGTTTAACTTTCTTAAAAGTGTCATTTTAAAGCCAGTTTAACAATTAATGAGCCTTGGTGGTGCAGTGGTAAGAGTGCAGTACTGCAGGCTACTTCTGCTGACTGCCGGCTGCCTGCAATTTGGCAGTTTGAATCTCAGCAGGCTCAAGGTTGATTCAGCCTTCCATCCTTCCCAGGTAGGTAAAATGAGGACCCAAATTGTTGGGGTCAATACATTGACTCTGTAAACCGCTTAGAGAGGCCTGTAAAGCACTGTAAAGTGGTATATAAGTCTAAGTGCTATTGCTATGCTAATGGCATAGAACTTGTTTGATAAAGGAATTCCTTTTTAAAGAGGGAAACTTAGTTGCCAAGTGCCTGAATTTTAATCATGTGACCATGGGGAAGTTGCAATGGTTAAGTGTGGAACACAGACATAAATCCTGTAGTAACTTCAAACGGTCACTAAATGAACTGTTGTAAGTTGAGGACTACCTGTATACCCATCTCCCTATGCAAAGTGACTCTGGACAGCTTGAAATACAATAGAAGCAGAAATACAAAAACATTGACAAGTAACAGGAATGATATAAAACTAATAGCCAGATATACGACATGGGATCTTCTCTCTTACACCTCCAGCCTAAAAGACCCTCGTCAAGGCCCAAAGCTAGTTAGCAGAGCCAAGGTTTGAAGATTTAAGGAAAGTTACAAATCAAAACCCTGTTATTATACAGTCATCAGGGCTCTTCATATCTTCTTCTTAAAAGGCAGGCTGATTGAAAGTTGCTGGATTACCAAGGAAGAGGTTTTCCATCCCAGTTCACAAAAGTGCCAGTTTCTTTCTCAGAGAGGCGGGCAAGTGTTTTAAGAATATTTTGTACACCATCCTCAACTGTAGTTGGGGCTTTCAACTGCAAAGAAAGAAAGGAAGAAAGAAAACAAAGGAAGGAAGGAAGGAAGGAAGGAAGGAAGGAAGGAAGGAAGGAAG